TATTTTCTCGCCTGGTCCATTATACTTCTGCTATGAGTGAAACCATCCGGTATTTTTCTTTCTCTTTCTGGCTTATCTCACTAAGCATGATCTTTTCCAGAAGGGAGCCATTTTTTATGGTGACCGCTCACTCACTGGGGAAAGGGCTTTCAGGGCCATGGGACTGGGTGCTATCAGTTAATTTGTTACTAGAGCTCCAAGTCAGCCAAGTCAGTAAGATATTCTAGTTACCTTGTATCCCTCTCTCTTACCCTGGGTTATTCCTTTTCCTTTCCCCTTTTGTAAATAAACCCATTATTGACCCTTTCTTGTGTGTCTGCAGTACAACTAAATTTTAGGTGTGCGGGTGAGGACTCACAGACAGGCAGCCCAGTTCACACTGGGGTGTGTAACACTTATGCTACCTTTCTCAAAACTACCATTCTTCTTTATCAGCCTCAAACTATTCTGGAAAGTGAGTATAGAGAACAAAAAAAAAAATTCTACTACTGACAAGTAACTACTACCATGGTACCATGGTAGCTGGGAAAATTTATGGTTGTATGCACAATAGAGGAGAGGACTCAACTCTTTACAAGAAGACAGCATAGTTCAAGGGATTCTAGACCCATGTTTAATGAAAGGATGGAATCATGACATCTTGTTCTGGTATTTGTTTTTATATTGAGAAAATACTTAGCACATTAATGAAAATACTGCTTAAAAAGGTTATCTTTGTCATATGACCTACCACACCTTACATCAGGCTTTCTAGGGAGAAGTTCTGTGCATCTTAATATCTTAGGCTCAATCTGGAATCTCTTTTATTCTTTATTAACTGAAACAGTTGACACCTGTCACTGAGGCAGAATAAATGTGAGGAGCGAGAAAGCCTAAGCAGGTACATCATTTTGATTTTCCTGATATGATACATAACTCTCTCTTCTCTCTCACATACCCCACAATATACATACACATTTGGAGAACATATCTATAAAATGCCTGTATTTAAGAAGATTGATCTCGCCCTCTCTTTCTCCCTTTCCTCCATCTGCATTAATTCCTTTCCAATTTTCCCTTTAGTATGAGAAGAGAAATATAGAGTAAATTTAAAATGCAGCACCATGCAACAAGAACAGTAAAAAATCATGGCATAATGTATCTCCAGACTTGTATAAAATCCAGCAATATCTATGAGGCAGACTGAAAGCATTTAGGGAAGGGTGAAGAAATAACGATCGTCTAAGTACATACTTTATTTTATCATAGGAAAGAAAGTGATTCCATGAGACAGTCACTGCGTTACCTACCAGCATGCTGGCTTCAGGTGCCATTGCTTCTCTAACGATGGGCTCACGGCCTGCCGCCCAGCCCAAAGAAATAACTGGTACCTTTTGGCTCAGGAGTGCACATTAATCCTCTGACAGATCAGCAGGAGAGGTTTCCTAGCTGGAATGAATTGTGAGTGTGGAGAAAGCTTTGAAATGTCTGTATAATCAGAAAGACATGGAGCAAGAGTCTGCCTGTAAGATATAAGGATGTGGTGTAGTCAAGTTTACTATGATGTGTTGATAAGAATTCTTAAGATATTGATTATAGTTGCTACATGTACTATTTGCAAAAGGAAAAAAAAAGAAAGCAACCACTAACAAGAATTTTTAATTTTCTGATCAAGCTGAAGATTTGAGGGGCTTATGACCCTCAATCACTATCCACTTTCCTTCTGATAACCACCAATTGACTCAAAAGTGAATTGTTTTATTTAATTCATCTGTTTGATTGGTTCTGCTATATACCACATGTGAGTGTAATTACATGGCGCTTGTTTCTTTCTGGTCTTTTCTTATTTTACTCAGCAAAAGACTTTTTAGGTCTATCAATGCTGTGTATTACAAGTGGCAGAATTATTTTCCATCGCTTAATTGTATTCTTTTGTGTATATATACAGTATCTTCTTCATCCTGTTACCTTCATTTCTGATAAATAATTGACTTTGTAACAAAGTATTGGCAATTAATGATTTTTCTGCATAGTAACCTTTCTGTTTATGCAAATATCATTGATATTAATGAAAGAATACTGAGAATACCTCCCTTCATAAAATTGTGTATATAGACATCTGTTATATAGTATTCTTTCTCTAAAACCAAGGACATAGCAAAAAGCTAAAATCAGTTCCAATGCTGTCACTATGCTAAAGTGGGCAAATATTGACAACTATCAATCATCTCCACTCCGCAGTCACAGAGCCAAGGTGGTAGTATACTTCCTTCTGGGAGAACCAAAGCAGCTCTGGACTATCTGCTTTCCCAGAGAAGAAACTAAAGTTCAGATGAATGTACTAGAACTGATGACAGCTGGAGGGCAGTTGCGGTGGGATACCTAAGGGAGTCTCCTGGAGAGAAGTCCGAATGAGCCTGGGAGTTGGTAAGAGTTCCCAAGACAGGAACACTAAGCCTGACTCTCATGTGGATGATGTAGCCTGAAGGAAGGGGTCCAGTAATTACAAAGAGGAGGTGAATTCTCAGAATTTAGAATTGTCCTGTAGTGATTTACAAAGATGATTCCACTGAAGTTACAAATGAGACTCTGCCACTCTGTCCCCGACCAGACACTGCACCAACAACGGAAATGGTTGCAAGTAAGGACTCTGGACTTAGAAAGACGAGCACTGAGGGACTCTACCTGATGGCCCAATGGGTTAGAGCACCCCATTATGAAGCTCTCCGAAGCCACTGCAGCATGAGTTCGATCACCAGCCAGGGAGCTGACCCACATGGCGCGGCAGACCTCTCCTGACCTGCCCACTGCTCCCCTCAGCAGTGTACTT